GTTCTGTCTACCTTTATGTACATTTTAGTGGATAATTATATGAATCGGGTGAGACAAGTATTTAAAAGAGAGAGAGAGAGAGAGAGAGAGAGAGAGAGAGAGAGAGTTTAACGTCCACTCGACACAAACTAGGTCATTTCGGGACTAACATATAGTTCATTTTTTTTTATTTCAATAATTCGCTTGCGGGTTGGGGTCTTTAGCCCATGTTAAAAAAAGACACAGGAAAACTTCCATGAGATGAGATTAGGGAACAATAGTGGCACTACAATAGTGTTGGATTCACTTAATTTATTTGAGTAATTTAATTTCTTCAAATAAATGAAGTGAATCCAACACTATTGTAGTGCCACTATTGTTCCCTAATCTCATCTCATGGAAGTAAAAGCTAAGAGAATGTTCCAAATTTGGTTGAGGTCAAAACAGTGAGTTAGTGTTAAGTTTTGAGGTCAATAATTAAGTAAAAAATCAAGTTTTAACTACTTGTCGGGGGGGGGGGGGGCGAATGGTTAGCACGTGCGCGCTGTATCACAAGGTCGTTCATTGAGTCAATTGGCGGGGTTTCGATTCCCCGGTTGTTCGTGACAAGGGTAGGGTCGCCTGTCCAACCTCGTGGGTTATCTCCGGGTCTTTCGGAAACCATGTTAGAATTTGTATCGGGTAACGCTAGTGTTGTCTGGAGACCCTATCTTGTAATTATATCCACAGTTAAATGAAAATAACGCTATAAATATTTAGTGCGAACACTACTTTTGCCCTCGCCCATTGTTTACCTTACACTCTTCTGGCTATTGGGGGGTTGGATGGCTGAATGGTTAGCGTGCGCGCGCTGTATGATAAAGTCTGTCATTGAGTCAACTGGCGTGGTTTCGAATCCCCGATTGTACGTGACAAGGAGTAGGGTCGCCTGTCCAACCTCGTGGGTTTTCTCCGGGCCCTCCGGTTTCCTCTCACTGCTAAAGACCCCTACGCGCAAGCGAATTAATGAAATAAAATTAACCATATGTTAGTCCCGAAATGACCTAGTTTGTGTTGAGTGGACGTTAACCGCTATTTCTCTCTCTCTCTCTCTTCTGGCTATTATAATTGTGTCCGCGCCTGCAAACATTAGAAAATACTTTTCTGCCGGGCATGAAATTTTGATAAACATTAGGGCCTACAGGAATTGTAAGGAAAACCGTAGGCTAATTTATCTACTATTTTGCATGATAATTTTACACCGTATTTGCGGTTCTTTCAGGTTGTACAATAATCACATTTCTGAATTGGAACATTAGCCTATCTCACTTCTAAGTCTGTTTTAATTGGTCCCGATGTCGACCGAAGTACTGTAAATAAGCTCCTTTCCCACTTTCAATAGGCTAGCAGACCTACCAATAGCGCGCGATTTCTTCTTTTTGACAAGGCAGTGTGGCAATTTTGACTCTAGCCAATTTGACGTTACAATATTGCAGCTAGTACGCCACCATCTTCAATGAAAGCTTAAAATTGATCTCACTTTAACTCCATACATCTTATTAAGGCTAGATGTTGTAAAACTCAAGGACGTTGCTTCAAGAAATGGTATGCCACATGACTCCGGTGTTCCCTATTTCTGAAGCCAGCCATCACGCTCTGTCAATTAATGAATTATGCAGATTTCTTTTTTAAAAAAAACCTCACCAAATATGCACCCAAAGACAGCTACAATATTGCAGTTTAATTGTGTCAATAACTGAGTAATGGGAATAAATGAAATACATGCAATATACTTACGCAGCCTCCGTTTCTCTTGTAACTTGTTACTTCTTAGGCGTTCACGCCGATTAAAATGTCGTTTGGCGCGGAGCGTCCTCAGGATGCTCGCGCATTTTTTGATTGTTCTTGAACGCCATGACGATAATCTGTAAGTCGGTTAGGCTGAATTACCCACCCATAGTAAAAAAAAGAGTATGATCTGGGAAAGTTGTGTTGATTTTAATTTGCAATCAATCGTGAAACAAAGAAATGGTTTTGTGTTTGGTAATGAAGATATTTAGATCTTACGAAATAATAAAAAAAAAATGTCTACAGAGATTCCGGGTGGGCCGACAGTTTGATTTGAATGACACCGTCTTACGTCTAACACCTAATTTGCGATGACCTTACCTTAGCTTATCTTCAGGTTAACACACTCTATTAGTATTACCGGTAACTAACAGCAGAGGCAATGCGAAACAGACTACAAAATCGTGTCTCGGCTTGACAGGTAAGTAGGGCCTACTTATTTTAATTTTTTCTTCCATTTACATCGATGTTAGGATTTAAAATTTAGGCCTGTCTCGTTTGCTCCTATTGAACTGTTGAATGCGTATTTCAAATGTGGTCGTAAAGGTTCCACTATTAACAAAGTTAGATACATTTTAACTGAAAATTCGTTAGAATTGTTATATTTTTTGCATGTTTTCTAGTTATAAAGAAAATCTAGCATCTACTAGACGTTCGTGTAAAATAAGCACTTCGGATGTTGTTGAATGATAATAAGTTTAAATAAGAAATATATATTGAACAGTAAACGTATACCTCACAATTTTGCCATCTGTGTTCCGGATTGCCTGTGCTGTCACAGTTTTTTGGTAGGGGTCCAAAATGTATATTTGGGGACAAACGTCAAAAACTACATGGCTCGAAATTGGTCTTGGTGATCATCTCATAGATTAATAAAACATTCATTTCTAGCACTGTATAATGTCTAAAGAAAACAAATGTAGGCCTATATGGGTTACTGTTGGACAACCCATAGGGAGGTGGGAGTAGACCCTACTGTGTGTGGATGTGCGTAAAGGGCGGCTATGACAATGCCTACTTGACAAATATAAATGTCTTATAATCAAGGGTACGTATTTTCTTATCAAGGGGTTAATTTCAATTATCGAATTTCGTAAGTTGTTTTAAATTTCAAATGATCCTGCAAAATATTGTTTAAACTAATTATCGCCTTTCAATAAGGCAAGAGGTAATATATTTTTTTTAAAATGCATGGATTAAAATTGCTCCCCGTGAAACTAACATTTTAATTGGGATGTTTGATGTTGGCATCGAAAGTTACTCCAGATACAAGTTGACACCATTTCCAATTATCTCGCATGGAAGACCTGCAAGTGGGATTCATTTGGCAAAGATCCGCAGTTCAACATAATCATCCTGAGGTATACTATAATGTTCCATTTAGTATCGAATGAAATCATACAAAAATAACTTCCATTTTGCCTTATTAGGCCTATAAGACGATAATTAGTTTATTACGAAAATTTTGAAGGCTTATTTGTATTAAAAGAATTTATGAAATTCGATAATTTAAAGGATTCAATACAATCATGTTTTAGGAAAGGTTGTGAAAGATGTTTTTGCCCCCCAAAATCCAAGCAGTTGTCACAGTGGCACCATATGCACTTACAGTGTTATAAATTTTATGCTTTACTTATTTACGATGATCATCATGTATCTCAACATTATCACATTTACCGTCCATTTTAGGCACTGTACTCCTCCACCAGTAAGGACAATCTATACATTTATTTAGATATCTACACGGTAGAAATCAATGTTTTAGTACTAAAATGATCATCATTTAAATCAACATTATTTCAATTCCCACCAAGTTTAGGCAAACCATTTCAAAGCAAACCATTTGTCCAAGGGCATCCTATATATAGTGTTAGGAATTAATGCAGTGATGAGCATCCAGACTAATTTCGAACCACATGGTTTTTGTATCCAAAACCATGTGGACCCGCCAGACGCCCCCCTTCCCCTCCCCTCCCCCCTCCCCTTCCCCTTCCCCTTACCCCTTACCATAAAAAGCCAATTCTGGCATTGCCCCAACACCCTCCTGCTCCCAGAATCCCCCACAAAGCAAAACATTTGCCCAAGGGCATTACATAGACTTATTTAGAGGTGTACATTGCTATAAATTAATGTTTTACTAATCTACAGGATGGTCATCATGTATATCTTGTAGGGAAATGTGATAATGTTGATATGATGATCATTATAGCAATGTACATCTCTAATTAAATCTATTTAATACAGATGTGACGTCATCCTTTGAAGTTGGCGTACCATTATTTTCAATAATGTACAGGCAACTTGCCAATCGTATATTATCTATACTAGATGAAATATTGGACTCGCGTGACGTATTTCATTGATAGTGTCTGTATTTTAAGTTGTTTAATGGTCTCAAGCTAACTTAATATATTGAAACAATACTCGACTAACGCCTCGTGCAGTATCAATATATTACTTAATTTGTCACTCTGGACCATTAAACCATACATAATGCCCTTGCATTATCCAAGAGCATCCTATATCCAAGAACATGCTGTAAAATGCTCTTGAACATGATCATATTTCCACCCAGAATCAAAATCTACGTTAAAAAAATGCTCAAGAAAAACTTGGTCTCATAAATTCCCCTCTCGGGTGACGATACTCCCCCTTGAGCCACGGGGCTACTTCTGTTCTGCTCTGACTGGGCCAATAAAGACATACGTCATACAGTGTGCTACAGATGGAGGCGCTACAGCCAACTATTATATCTAACTCCAACTGCCAAGGGTTCTTTTACGTGCATGCCAATATGTACAGTGGACCTTGATTTTAACAGTATTATCTGTTGGTTGTTTTCAAAAACCCAGGAAAGGCATATACAAGAATTTTGACACATCCAGCACAGAAAAGAAGATACAACAAATTTGATTAGTTTTTCTCAGTACAATTTTGATTAGTTTTTCTCAGGACTTAATGTGATTAGTTTTTCTCACGACAAATTTTATATTTCTAAGAAGTGAGACTGTCATGATATAGATATGGTACGATATTCATAAGATAGGCCTATTTAATAACATCACTTAAATGGTCTATCAAAAAGCACCGATTTAATAGGGATCAAATTATACATGGTGAAAAAGTGAAATTATGCCTTTAAGTCGATTATTTTTTCCAGTTTACAGAAATAAAGAAAATACACAAAATAGTAATTTAAATATTTAAAATTGACTTTATTTTACACATCTTAAACATAAAGCACTGATTTGCACCCCAAAAAAAGGACTGAGTTCGAAATACGATTTTCAAACACTCTTGAAGTTATAATGAACTATTTGGACTAAAATACATAATCAATACAGTCAATAAAGAATGATGGTGTGACAATGACAAACAAATTCATTGTGTGGCATTAAAAAAAAAAACGAGACACTTTAAGCAGCACTAAATGGGGTAAATGTTATGTTCATGTAAGTCATTATATTTAGCAGCCTTCTCGTAACTGAGTACTGGTTTGTCGAAAAAAATCCAAAAGATATTCCCAACCTAATTTCATTGACTATCACAACATAACCTATTTTACCTTTGTGTTACTCCTGTGTAGTAATAAGATAACCCTTTGAATATGTACGCTTACAGAATCTACATTACATATTGATTAAAACAATTAAAAGTAAACATGGAAGCATAAAAATACAAAATATACCGGTATAATCTTTGTCTAATGAAATGTGATATTGATGTTAAAGTGACGATGACATGCATCATATCAGTTGTGTTTTATCTCTGAGTAAATGTATGAGGCTAGGGATTTTTTCCATAGTAAAATCCTTCAATCTGATTTCGAGACACACACTGCAAATTTTCAGTCAAAAAGTACAGTTGCAATGAATGTTTTGAATGTTTACACTGTACAGCTATATAAATTCTATGTTTTAAATAATAAAATTGTTTTAAATAATAGAAAATGGTCTTGGTCACTTTTAACACAGGTTCTCTCAATATCTATTTAAAATGGCAGTAACTAATATAGAAAATGTAGTAACAAGTGGGGACTTCTATTAAACATTAATCACTAAGCATACTGAACATATTATTGTCAAGGGGTTACACAACTGAGCACTTTAAGGCAACATTTAACACATATAGAATTGCATATGGTGGCATAATAATAAAGACAAACAAAACTAGCAAGAATTACAGAATACATGACCATAACAAATCAGAATATGATGATACATTGTTGATCAGTTTAATGAAAACAGCAATGGGTCATTATCAAAAAATGGAGGAGAAAATTCTCAATACAAGAGTTATCTCCCCTTTTCACATGTTTGCTCTATCCAATTCTTGTATTTTGTTCAAAGGCCTTGACATACAGCTTGACAGTACAAAAAGAGTCTCTGTCAAAGTGACTAAAACTAAAAGGGTGTGAACTAGGTTCTTGTAATAAAAATTTGACCTTACACTCACATTATATCACCAAACAACAGAATGGTTCAATTCACTTAAAGCAAAATGGGTAAAACTCTTATATTTTAAGTCAAAAGATGTCAAGAATGGATTGATGATAATGGCTTAACGAAGACTTGCACAACATTCATTAGATATTTAAAAACAAATGTAACATGGTATAATAGGTTTTTGACAATAATTAACATCAATAAGTAAATTATAATAATGTACAATCTTTAAATATCAACACCTCTATAATCATTTAGCTTGAAAAGGCTATGATTCTATGGGGAGCTATACATGCACAAAGTGATATCTATGTTGAATAAAACACATGTATGCAGTATGAGTCTGCCACTATGGTGTGCTGACAATTGGGTCATCTATATCATACAAGAATTATACTGAATTATGAATAAAACAGAGTATTAAAAATACAGAGACAATGTTATCACAATATTAATCAGCTAAATTAATAATAATTAATAGACATTTGTAAAGCCATTCACAGAATAATACCTAGTTTTGTTGGTACACTTTTGATGTCAAATACAGAAATAGCCTTAAAAATCTTGATTAATTCAAAATATTTGCTGATTTTATGTTAGCATTTTATGTTTTATTTATCATTTCTTTTTCTTATTCTTTATAGGATCAACATTTTGACATATTTTGTAGTCAAAAAGCACCAAGTAAAGCCTGATCAACATGTTCTTATAGTACATAACCATTGTGCAATTCATGACAATAAATTAACATAATAAAATATGGCTACATTAGTACATGATAAAAACATGGATATAATATAAATAATACATCAACAGTGTTTAAAGTATTCAAATAACCGAGATTAAAATATCTGATCTTAATTAATACAAGTGCAAATGAATCTTTTCTTGTGAAACTATCCCGAATAGAAGAATCAAATTTTAATATTCACCTACTAGTTTATGTCATCTACGTCAACTGTTTTTTTCTAATAAAATTATACAAGCTGTGTCTGAGAAATGGATTATATAATTTAAACTGCTGATCTAATTATTTAGTTATTATTTGACTATAACATGATTTTCACAAGAATTTAAGCAGAATAATTTTGCATATTTTAGGTTTAGTCAATAGTCTTTTCTGAGAAACATCAATAGATTTACTTTGAAATAATTAATCTTAACTTATTTACACACTATGATACAATGTACAAATATCTTTATATATTATATATTTATGTATATATGGCATCTAATATATTTCATAGTTTAAACTGAACAATGAACACATTAAAGCATCATTATGCAAACGTCTTTAGTTGGGTTCATGAAACAAAACCGTCTTTCCTTTTATCTGATTTGATGTGTTACTTCCAAAAATAAGAAACTTTAACTTTCCTTTTCAAAATTGTACCTCTATTATCAATGATCTAAACTAATGACACAAAAATGGGAGGCTATCCATTCAAACTAACACATCAGATCTAGTCAAATCAATAATTCGTTCTATCACATAAAATCAGATAGTGTGTTTTTTAAGTGAATAGTGACAAATTAATACGTAAATTTCTCATATAGGAATTCAACAAATTAAATTTGAGCACACAAGTTAAAAAATACTTATTAACGCAAACCTCACAACATAGCCATATGAATATATTCGTATTCTTTTTATTGTCACTTTCATTGTTTATCTTGTGACCTAATCTTTAAAATTCAATGAATTTTATGCATATACATTAATGAATTCAAATGAATCCAATGTTCCCTGACATTTAACAGAATTTTTTATGAAGATGAGGAATCAGCAATTGGAATGTCATCTAATCTACAACTATTAATGGTTCATCAAAGGGATGATAACTTGGGCCAATTTATGGTTAGACATTTAATTCTTATTGGATGAAAAATAGAGTATTTTCAGACCTGAAGAGAAAAAGAGTGTGATTAATTACAGTCTTTTGTTCAATATACATCATTCCCTATTCTATATATATATATATATATATACAACCGCAATATTCACAGTAATTCATTTTCCCTTGAATCTGTTCATCTGGCTTCAAGTATGATCTATATTTACCACTAGTTCAAGTACATAACATATTTTTATGAAAATCTAGACAATAACCAAATAATTGATCTTCCGTTAAGATTCTAAATATGTATTGTTCGATATCACATATTGACCACAAGTTTCATACATTAAATTTTTTTTTTTTTAAATTTTGCCCCAGAAATAGAAAAAATACTTTCAACAATAAAGTGAGAAAGTGACGGCTTAAAATCTAAATGAATTATTGTGCAATGTGTTTGTCACACTTAGCGGACACTGACCTTAAGTATATGTGTACACCAGTTGTTTTACAACTCGTTAATCATGATTGAATAAAATATTAATGATATAAATATACACAACTAATTTCTCTTTCTACACATGACTATGGTAAAATACTAACGAGACTGAGACAAAATGTCAACAAAAAAAGGATATAACTGTACAAATTATATACATCAAATTGTTTAAAATTACAGCATGGTATCGGTATCAAGTATTTAAATAACATCTCTTTTCGTATAAACACAATTTACTTGGCTGAAATTTTTTAACAAGTATCAAAAGCAATGCATACTAAGCAAGCCTCTTTTCTAAATGTTTAATTCTGGATAAATTTCCATTAGAAAAGGAAGTATTTTCTCAATATTGTATTGCAATTAAAATAAATAAAATATCAGCCAAGAAATAAACATGTACAATAGTGCTAAATAGATCAGGAACGTTATATGTCACATAAAAAAATCAAAGTCCATTAATCGATGTGCAATTGTCCAAGGAACAAGCATGTCAATTTTCATGTTGATCATACCTGAATTGGCGGCCCCTTAGGCTATTTTCGAAGATGAGTAGCACTTGAGAAACCAGTTCCTGATTCAATAAACTATCGGAGGCCTGAAAAGGTGGCTGTTTATTTTACATTGATAACAGATTATTATTCAGAACTTTGAAATTCACTAAGCGACCAATGTACATTTTCCTCAATTAATACATAATTCTTATCAAATTATGAGCCATTTATAAAGGCTCTTATAGACTTTGTCTTACCACAATTACTTCAAAAATCAAAACATAATTTGACATAAAAATTACTTCAAAAATAATTTCTATGGCCAATTAGATAGAAAATATTTCACTTAATCATCCTTAGAAATAATTTATCATATTTGCAAAATGTTATTCATCATGAAAAATAAAATAAATTTGACCAGAAAATCACCTCAGAAATAATTTCTGAAGATGGTTAGATGTTTAAGCATCAATAAACATGAAAAACAATTTCAATCCCAGAGATAACTTTACCATTCGTTTATCTCTGGTAAAACTTGCCAGCCATTAATCAGCGTGAAACTTGTTCCTAAACTCTGCCCCCAGTGGCTACTGATTGGCAGGATTTGTTAGAATGATATGCTGCTGCTTTCTCGACAATAAGGCATCGATTCGTTGCATGAGTTACATATTAATGATCCTTGGAACATTTTCCACATCTTGCCATCAAAAGTTCATTCGAAAAAAGCCGATTTGATGATTTACTGGGGACTATTTTTAGTGCACAATGTGAGTGATTCGGCTAAATAAGTGAACTTTCTGAAGAAACGCGAGTTTGAACCGCCATCTTGGATCTTTGTGAAGCGACCGACGGAAGGATACATCACATGACATTCAAAATGGCTGGCAAGTTTTACCAGAGATAAACAAAAAAGGGTGAACTTATCTTTGGGATCGAGATTGCATGAAAAAGGGTGAAATTTTCAAATGAGTATATATGACACTGATATCTATTAAAAAGACTACTTGAACTCTACTATTAAATAGTTAATATGAAATAATGTGACATGAATCGGATTATTTCCATATGCAAAATGATCTGAATAAATGTTTACAACACTCAATTTAGCACTCTCAAATTTTGGAATAAAACATGATCCTTTTTCAATTGTAAAATCATCAAATTGTCAAGAACTGACCAAATATAACAAACTATTTGAAACAAAAAGATTTTTTCTTTAACCAACCGTTTTGGTTTTTGTCTTTGCTTAAAATCAGAAACATTTTTCAAGAAGTTATTGTGAAAATAAAAGTGACACAAAGTCAAAAAAGGTTTCTTTTTTGGATCAAAAAATGTAAAATAAACAAAAATAATGAATGACCAGTCAAGCCTAATTCTTTTTATACATATATATAATTAAATATAAATAAATATTATAGGCCATTTTGCTCAGATATTTTCAGCATTTTATTTATATATTCTCTGGTGGTTTTCAATTTACACATTGATGACACAAAATATAATTAGAAATGCCAAATATATATATATATTTTTTCAAAGAAAATGATGATAACAGTCAAACCTTTACACTGAGCCCTATATCTGCTCTTATTTTATCTAAGCAAACTGGCCCTTCATTTAAAAAAAAAAAAAAAATCTATCATTAAAATATATTTGTTCCTAATTGAGAATTGATTCAGGTAAGAGTTTGATAAATTTGATTCTATTTTAAGTTTATTCCATATATTTGGAGAGAAAATCAAGAAACCGTTTTGCATATTGTTCTGGTTTCACTGTAGATATTTCTGCTCCAGCTCCATGTTTCACTGTTTTTGCAGCCTGTGCTGTTCGTTTCTTCATACCATATTTGGTAAGTATGTCAATCATAGCCATAAAATAAACCTCACGCCTTGGACAACCTTCGTAAAAAAACCAAAAAAACATTCATTATTTAATACTCTAAAATATTAAAGATGCATTATGTTAGATTTAGACAAAAGGCTGGCCGTTCTTTCTATAATAGTTCAAAAATAATAATGAAAAATCAATATGACTGAAGATAGTCTTGCTAAATTTAAAAACTTGCAGGTGTTTTAATCCATTTAAATTTCAGCCATCAAATGTTCTAGCGAAATGATTATTGGCTTGTCATGTGAATAAATGTCTAAATAATAATTTATATAACTCTTGAAGCCAAAATAAAGACCTGCAACAGGCAGATATAGTTCTTACAGGGCTAAAAATATTCTAATATTAACGTTATTTTTCATATTAAAACAACTTTTTGCGGTAGTATTCTCCTTTAAGAATAGTGGTTTTTATCTACAAGACGTGGACATGTAATCATGCAACACAGGTGTTCGATTAACAAGATTTCCGCTGCTCTATCACTATGATGCATTTGGTTAAATCATCCTAGTATTAGCTATAAGCTATCAGTTGAAATCAGAATTCCTATAACATTTTTTCAGCCAATCAGACAGCCTCAACACAATTTTCTTGGCTAAATGGTCATACACGGAAAATACATATAAAAGTACCTTCTTTTAAAAGGCAATAACTCATCTTGATAAGATTCTCGATTATGAATAGACAAAAGTCCCTATCAAAAAAGTTGAAAAACAGTAATCTCCCAACTGTATCAAAGGAGAAATTACAAGACACTGAATAGTCCAAGCTATAAAAAGAACTTACTTTCTGAACTTTTATAAGCATATTTTTCTAACTTTGCATCAAGTTCTCCATTAAAGGGAAGCGGAGTGGTTGGTTGTGGGCTGTCAGGTGGTGTGATTGCCAAACCATAGCCATCGTTAAGGTCGTCTACATCTTCATCTTCTTCTTCTATATCATCCTGATCCACACTTCCTGCAAAATCTTCCTGTTGTATTTGTTTTTCTTGCTGTTCTTGTTCAGCTATGTCAGCATCATGGATGCCCACAATTAAACTATAGTCCATTAAATGAAGATTGGATAAAAACTAAAAATACAAAATGAAAGTTAAAACTGAATCAATAATTTTATAGTAACTTCTAATTAATTTACGACACAAACTAGGTCATTTGGGGACTAACATATGGTTCAATTTTATTTCAATAATTCGCTCGACCTTAGGGGTCTTTAGCAGTGGGAGGAAAACGGAAGAATCCGAGAAAACGCACGAGGTTGGACAGGCGACCCTACTCCTTGTCAAGTACAACCGGGGAAACGAAACCACACCAGTTGACTCAATGACAGACCTTATGATACAACGTGCATGCGCTAACCATTAGGTCATCCAACCCCCCAGAATGATAAATAAGTTTCTTGAGTTATCCAAAGCAGCATGCAATAACATGACAGCGGTTAAATAATAATATATTAAATTGTAGATGATTTATTTCCCGTAATCAATCAATTGTTCATTTTTACATTTTTTTTTTTACTAAAACATTTACTGGAATGACACCTTGGAAATTGAGAAAACCTTTTTCCCAATGAAACAATAAAAGCCATAAATAAATGGGTAATAAAATTGGCGAAAACTCTTTCAAATTCCCACTAGACCATTATCTACTGTTTGCACAAGAGATTGACCTTGCATTCTAATATCTTTGTTGATCTATAAAAGTAAAGATCTATTATGTAAGATTGAGGTATAAGAGTTGGGCGTTCTTGCTATATCAGTTCAAAAATAGATATGATAAATGAATATATTTAAAATTTCCCTCAAATTACTTTATTCTGAGCAAAGTAATCAGTGTTTGAAGATGTAGCGTAGATTGCTGATTATCATAGCACAGGAACTGGACAACCAAGACTAAGTCTAGATTATCCAATTTTCAATTAAATTATTAAATGGTGATTGTGTTTCAATCCATTTAATTCTTGACCATATGAATGATGTTCTAAGAGAGTTGAATATATGCTTGTGATATGAATAAATGTCTAAATAATAGTTTATACAACATTTGAATCCACAATAAAGACCTGCAATAGACATATTAAGTTCTTACATAATGTATCTTTAATGAAATATTTCCAGATGGCATTAATGTTAAGGTAGACACTTATTACAAAAGTTCAAATGTAGTCAATATAAATATCTCTGCTCTAGAATTGCATCTAAAATCAACCTATTTCTTTTGTTAATTTCGCGTTGGATATGCATCAGGTACACATCTATTTCGACACCTATATATAATGATATAATGACATGTCATCAAACACAAAAAACTTCTTTAAAGTTTTGGCCTCATGTCCTATAAATAGCCATCCCAACCAGCAGATACTTTTCCATTTTATAATGTAATACCACATTTAACATATTAAATATCGTGATCCAATAAAAGCCCTTCTGTTGTTTTGCTTGGTGCAGTAATAAGCAACTTTTACCTTTTTAGGCCTATAAGTTAGTTTGAACTTGATTTCAAAATTCATTAACAGTTTTAATTATTGATTGATAATAATTTTCAGTTGTTGGGTAACTTTTTGTGGCTCCATACCCCAGGATTTTTTTTTGTACTAATGCTATCTCAAATATTTCATTAGAATTCTTTGTAATAAGCATCCTGGATTTCAAATAGAATTTTTAAAGATAAGGGAGTTACTGGGTTCGAAAACAGTTGTTCAAATGGTAGGATTCTACCATATTTTAAACAAACATTTAAAAAATACAAACCTCAGAATCTTTTTGTAAAATAGACATAATTTTTTCTTTTGCTTCTGGTCCGACATGGATCTTAAAACCATCATTTACAAAATCATTGTCTTTAAATGTAGGTAATTCTTTTAACTAGAAAAAAAAAGTTTGGGAAGATATATAAATTTGTTCCATTCAGTGTCATACTGTCATACAGTGTGCTACGAGGGAAATATTACCCAGACAGCAGCGTTATGGCCTACTCTTATTTCAAATTCCAACTGTCAAGTGCTCTTTTACGTAAACGCCAATGTGTACACAGGACCTAGGTTTACCATCCCATACAAATGACTAGACACTGTCCCTGCCAGGCCCTCCATTCTGCACCTCTGACATGGGGGAATCATGTCAGAAAATCCAGACAAACTTTCTCAGCCAATAACGGGTGAGAATCGAGACCTCCTGGCTAGCGAGCCATTGTCATATTCACTGAATCAACGAGGTTCCCTTACGATATAATAATTACTTTTTCTACTCTGTATCAACTGTATGTGAATCCACAAAGAAAGTCGTTAAGATTGTTGAAATACTGCTTTTAGATTTCTGGAGCACAAGCTACGGTAATTACTAAATCGATATAACCTACCTTTTCCTTATCATTAGCCTGTCTATCAACAGTTGAACCCTAAAAATAAATATTAAAAGTTTGGGGGACTCTTCAAACATTTCAGATCATAAGGATTACAAATTTTTTGGTGAGGGTTGAAAATCTATCCATTTTCAGATTTCAATAAAATTTATTACCGTATTAAATGATAACAGTAGAATGGAATAGTCTGAAGCATCACAGAATTAATGGTTATAAATTGCTGTAATTTTGAAGAAAAAAAACCCTGTAATTATTTTTAAGGTTGATGGAACTCAACATAAAATCTATATCATAATTTCGGGTCTTACAATAATTTGCCCCGTGTGCCGTGAGAGTTCAATAGAATAGGTTGTTTAAAGAAATTAGGTTACATGATATACCTGACATCACAAAACTATGCAGTACAGGATTTCAAACAGCAAATATGGCTTCTTGACTTACCTTTAAATCATATTTTTTGTGAATAGCTAGTCTGGGACTGAACACATTTCTCATAACCACCATATAGGTCTCCACATCATTTACTGTTAAACGATACATACCAAGATACTGTGGTAGTAATGTATTAGCATTATTCTCTACAACATACTGAAACAGTAAAACATACAAATACATAATATTACCTTTCATTGGGGTGGGGGGGGTAGTATGGCCAATGAACTTGACTGGAATTTATCAAGAATTTTGATTCTTTAATTCAAATTATCATCAATTCTGATATTCTTAAAATAAATGATCTTTTATAGCTTTTTAATATACTAAGAAAACACAGATTGATAAATGATAATGTGCATTAATGAATCATGTTTCACAGACAATGTGGTTACAAATTTTTCCCAGCAGTAACAACACTACGCATGATTTACTAAATACAGGGAATTCATTTCATTTCATTGCAGTGTGAAAGCAATAACTACTAAGTTTCATACTGCATTCTCAAACTAATCTGAAAGACTGGACATTTGAGAACATGCATACATGTACAAAAGCTATATATAAATGTTGTACACATTTTTGTTAAGCTGGGAATCGTCATACGTAGGTTGAGAGTGTAGTTGAATATACAATGTACCAAATGTATGAAGGGTTGCTCGATAAATTTTCAAACATGGATGAAAATCAAGAACATGGGCTAAAAATCATTTTTTAATCATTTGGCCTAGACTTGCATAAATTTAAGTCACCGATGTCCAGAACTTAAGTTGAAATGTGATTCAATATAGTATAAATACATTCCTTTCAATAAAATACAACATCAAAATGTGTTGAATGTTTTATACCCCAGGCCTTTGTGTATGAAATGACTATTTACCTGATGATATTGTTTAAGTATATGATGCATCTGTTCTACTTCTTCACTAACTAGTGTTTTAATAAAATAACTTTTATCTGTTGACACCAACATTCTGGCTCCACTACGGCCAGGAGAATCTACATCAGCAGGTTGTTTAGTTAAAGAATTCTACAAATAGATCATTTTTATTGTTTCCATAAAATTAATATCAATCTAACGTTTTGTGCAAAATATTTAATAAGCCTAATAGGAACATCCAACTTATTGTCGGCTCCTCAGATTTGACTCCCAACATGCCAGGGTGGGCTTTTTCTCGGGTATCTTTAATATGTTTTAATTAAATATTTCATATATTAGGTTACTGATTTCGTTCGTTCATAGGGCTTAATATCTGATTCCACTGAGGGTAATATCACAGACAGGGGCAACATAGTTGTCAGGATATGTAATGAGAAAAGACTTGGTCGGTCTAGGGACATCTAAGACATCTATGCATGAAAGGTCAGTGTTGTATAATTTCATAGATTATTCTATATATCATGGGGGGGGTTGGGTGGCCGAATGGTTAGCACGTGCGTGCTGTATCATAAAGCCTGTCATTGAGTCAACTGGCGTGGTTTCGAATCCCGGTTGTATGTGAAAAGGAGTAGGGTCGCCTGTCCAACTTCGTGGGTTTTCTCCGGGTCCTCCGGTTTACTCCCACTGCTAAAGACCCCTACGCACAAGCGAATTATTAAAATTAAATTAAACCATGTTAGTCCTGAAATGACTTAGTTTGTGTCGAGTTGACGTTAAACCCCATTCCTCTCTCTATATATATATCATGGAACCTGTCTTGATAGAACACTTTCACACTGGATTTCCGAAAAGTTCTTCCTATCTGTTCTCTTTCATTTAAAGTTTTGAACACTGCCTACTGTACAGCTTGAAACCGCCAGAATAAAGAAGCCTAAAACAAACTATATTATTGGTTTAAATTCCAGGACAAAATAAAAGTATATTATCATAACCTAGTGGGAGATGAATGTACTTACCATATATTCCATATCATCAATTCCAAATCTTTCACGTAAATTCTTAAACACCAGAGGACAATATTCTTTCACTTTAAAATGACTTGGCATGCTATCTCTGTTAGAATACAAATTTGACTAACTTTAAGTAAAGACAAAGGGCAGAAAATTTAAATATAAGGTCATACAAAAAAAATATTCTGTTTCTCAGACAATCCTTACCAGACAGATATCTGATGATGGTATTTATTTTTGTGTTTTTATTTTGTCAAAGGATCACCACTGGGCTAAGTATCTGATTCCAAGGCACTACATTTATATCTGACTATATCTGATGTTGTTTATAGGAATATATGAGAATATCATTTATGATTGTCAGTAACATTTATCAGAGAAAGTGATGGAGGATTACCTGAGAACCAAAATATTTTTCTTTTTCATATGACCTAATATTTATATACTAAATACATGTAATATATCTATTTCAGTTAGAAAATAGATATATTTCAAGAAAGCCAAAATTGAGAAAAAAAAGTTGGTGGCTATTGCTCTGATAACTACCATTAACTACTACTAGCTTAATCTTCATTAGCACCGTTACACCAGGCAGTCAACAAAGGTTGTCGCTTATTTTTACTTTTGTCAGTAATGAAACATTTACAATACACTCAAATCGGATTAAAAGTACATGTACTAACAACTCATGCCCGTCTTCATTAGCCCAGTATAGGAGCAGAACCGTAGGACGTTAAACCCCATTTTATTTCATTTCATAAAGTAATTATCAGAAATCATCACAATTAGTACATACAAATCATTTAATATCATGGATTTAGCTGTTCAAGTTATCAAAAATCACTGAAAATCAATATACTTGTTTGTCTCAGGACCTTAACCCTTAACCGGTCATTGTCGACTATAGTCACCACAACGTTATACAGCTAAGTGGTCATGATCGACTAAAGTCGACCACAGCAAGAACCTTTTTGATAAGCCCCATTTGAGTATTTAGTTTCGTATTTAATTGATATGGTCACGCATGCGTGTCAGGCAGGAACTTGTCTTGTCAAGGGCATTGAGAAAAACATGTCTTTGTTCAACATTTTTTGACGAAAAATGCAATTTAACGATGTCGGGAACGTTAAAGACGCTCGAAGTGGTTGAAATACTTATGAAAGATTCCAACTCGGATGATATTGATGACACCGATTCTGAAGACGATATTTCTGATGAAAAGGACTTAAAATGATTGGCAAATTATAGATCAACTTATCCCCTTCAACTTTTTTATTGGTGTCAAGAGTCTATCACTTATAATTATTCGACAGTAGTCGATTGAAATAGGCATACAAAATATTTGACGCCAGCCTTTATTTAGCCTGACCACTTGACGTCATGACGTCAAAATGATGTCGACCGGTTAAGGGTTAAACTCTATGTATAATACATTTAAAGTCAATAGAACGATAATTTTGGCATGTAGCTGCAAGATATTTCGAAGTAATCAAAGGCCATAACTTTGGCAGTAATTATCATAAATCATTGAAAATCATGACCTTAAACCTGGTGTATAAATTTAAAATTAACCAGATGATAACTATGTTAACTTTGGTCTAGAGCATCCAAAAGATTTTTCAAAATGGTCAAGCACCAGGGCCATAACTCAGGTAGTAATTATCGGAAATCCTTGTAATTCAACAAGCTTCTTTGTCTCATGACCGTATACATTGAGTATAAATTTAAAGTCAATTGGATATCAACGTTAGCCCACAGGTCGTCAACAAGATTTTTCAAAATAATTATTCTGGCAGTAATTATCATAAATCATTGAAAATCAATAAGCCTTTTCCTCTCATGAACTTAAACACTGTGTATAAATTAAAGTCAATCGGATATCATCTAGCAATTGTGGACGCAATTATGAAAATGAATATTACTGTATTCTTCGGTACATTAGACGCATAATTTTTACCAATTATTTTAATGTCATTTCAATATAATTGAATTAAAGCTAGATAAGGCTTAATATTGGAAAGAATTATAATGGTAAAGCTGTTCAGTTTTCCACACTTACTGGGCACCTAAATCCTGAGATTATATTTTTCAAATTCCTAAAACACCTGACAACGTCAGTATGCACCTCATATGTGCCTAATGTACCAAAATATACTGTATTATATGACTTTTTAAACAAAGACAGCTCACAATGGCAAGCAAGAAGAACTGCACCACAAAAAAGAATAAATGATAAGAACACAGCCCGATTGTTTGTATATTTTAAATATGTAAGAGCCTTAGGTTTTTGTGGTGTGATATTACAGTGTATACTAATAGTACTACTATACTTACTTGTTAAACATGTGATTGTCAACTCTGATTTTACTGTAAGACTTGAAATCATCGGGCATCAACATTACCTTCTGATTAACATGATCTAATTCGTTGATCTACAAAAAATATAATATATTTATAATATGGATATATATGTATTTTGCCAATAGATGCTTATCTGAGTTCAGACTGTGCCCAAAAACTCTCAAAAGTTATATCTGGGGAAAAGACATTTGTCTAGAAATGCAGTAATTTTACAAATTCTTTTTTCAAACTGAATTTTCCCTTTTTTTCAAATGCACTTTTGGCTCCATTCAAACAACTATCCATCATGCCAGCCAATCCAACAAACTCTACAATTTAAAAACCTTGTGGGTTTTATCCAGGTCCTCCAGTTTCCTTCCACTGCTAAAGACCCCTACGCGCCAGCGAATTATTGAAATAACCTAGTTTGTGTTGAGAGGACGTTAAACTCTCTCTCTCTACAATATAAATGTACATATCCATATGCAATTTTAATTGATTTATTTTTCATTCAAGATACAAATATTGCAGAATTGTACATCACTTTAAACAAATTTAATTCTGTCTCTTTAAAATATCGTTCATAAAAGTAAGACATTCTAAACCCCATTCCATTTCTTAAAAAAAAAATAAAATGTCAGTTTCATTCACAAACATCGTTTTCGTGATTGATCAATACACATATAAAAATTGATTTATTGTAAGTCTAAAATTAGTCACTTCCTGATATAGCTTTGATTTGTGATTGACATTTTATACATACACATCACTTCAAAGCCTTTTAACCTAGATAGTCATAAACTAAATATCATACAGTTACAAAATAATAGGATATGTTGTATAAACCACTATAAAAATACCCTGGAACAAAACATATCAAAAATAATATTTGGTTAATAATTCATTTATAGGGTAAATAACTCAAATGATATTTCTATTTTAGCCCTAAAGCTCTGGTCGACTACTACACGATATAATTTACAGTTAAGTCAACATAATTAACTAATTGGTAACGATTTACAACTGACTTAATAGGCAGACACTCTTCAATCCCCATGGCATTTTCTTGTTATGAGTTACACCGCTTTATTACGGTAGACAAATCAATATACTCCAAAAATTAAATCATATATTGCTTAATTTACTGACCACATCATAGACAATTTAACAAAGAATTAGACATAGCCTATGTACATGAAACCTTTAATCTCTTAGCAGGCAGCGTAATAAAGACATAAATATGTATGTATGCACTTTGAATTATACATAAAATATACAACTTAAAATAATCTTTTTTTCTGTTTTCGATAAAATGTGTATACTAAATATGCACTAAACATGTTATTACCTTGTGTCCTGGAGGTACATTAATCATCACTGTTAGACAAGTTTATTCAAATAATCAATAGCATTTAAGATACAACTCCTAAAGCTGATGACTATTTGTATCAGTGTTTGTACATTATGGGAATATGTGGTGATTGGAGACAACATCAACCTCGAGACGACCAATGCCAATGCTTAGTGGTTGTACATACATTACATAGCTGAGTATATAGGGACTGTGATATCCCAAATTACAGAAATTGGTCTCACATAATGTAATAAGACAGAATAGATAACAATTCACAGCCAAATATTATATATCTCACCTACATGTATGTCCAATGCTATAATTACATATTATCAGATATTATTAACTGATACATTCCAAACAGAGTCCCAAGTGTGCACACATGCAATTTAATCATTTATGGAATGTCATTACATGTATGTATTTTGAAACAAATTTGTTTCTTGTAATATACATGTAAGTAGATTTATGTTATTCAAAAATAGAAAACAGTATACTGTCTGCATGAGTAACAACAAAAAGATACAATTTGATATTTACTGAGTTATTATGTATATCTAATGTTCCTTAAGCCAGGCGCAGACAAGCAACTTTTTCGAGCAACTTTCAGGCAACAGTGAAATCGCTGGTCGTTGAAAGAAAAAATCGCTTGTCTGCGCCAACGGGCAACAATAGTTGCCTGCTGTTGCTCCGAGTTGCTTCTCATTGCCAAATATCAAACATGTTTGATATTCGACAACAGAAAATCGCTCGTCGCCGAGAAATTGTTCATCTGTTGCTTCAAAATTGCTCGTCTGCGGCGGTAGGTGACAACAGGCAACTGGTTAACTGTCCAATCAGCGAGCGCTCTACTGTCATGTGATACGTCAAGATGGAACAGCTAACAACATTAACATGGTCCGTGGAGATGGAAGACATGTTGGTGGAAATGTGGGCTGAGCGGCCAGTCAGCGCACACGGGAGACCTCGAGTTGCCAATTACTCGGAGTTGCCAGTAGTTGCCTATTGCAGCAACAAGCGACGAAAAGTTGACCGTCTGCGCCAAGCTTAATCGGTGTTTAAAATTTGTTAATAAAAGTTTGAAGTCACCAGGACAGATTATTCACAACAACCAGTACACCATGTGTTAAAATCAGTACTATTATTATCTTTTCCATCAACTAGTATTCACAGATCTATGAAAGTCTGTCCTGAACTGAACTACTTGAACAATGTGGGTCTAATCACCTTTATCTTTCAACATGTACATTGTATAACATACAGTGTAAACATAATAATTTATAAAGACATTCGCCCCCACACTTTACAATTATGATAACCTAATTTTAGTACAATAAAGTATAGAGGGCCATAAAAAACCACTTTTAATATTCTGCTCCATTGTGTCAAGTCATATTTTTACATCTTAATGTTGAATGACAAACTAGAAATATAACTGGTCGAGAATGTGGTGTTTAATGTACAATATTCCAGAACGTTTACAAGGCATTCAACTTTCAAACCATACAATTAGACCAAAAAAATTGACCTGTCTTTAACAATAAGCAAATTCAAAAGGCTCTCCTCCATAGCAGGTTACGGAAAACTATTTGGAGAAAATGATATTTTTGTTTCCTCAAATTCAGAAAATGAGTTTTCAGTTCTCGGCTTTTATTATTCATTTCAAGCACTATTTCCTGCACATACTATATCTGCTGGCAATCTTTTGTAAGTGCTCACAGAAACAATTAGACTTAAGTAAAACAAGTGTTGAGATAACATTTGATGTCCAATGTCTTATGGTATATGTACCATATTTCAGTTGTTACTATTAATATCAATTAGGACTTGGTTACCAAAACTATTGACACTCAAAATTACCAGGTGTGATACATGTACTTGAACAAAGAAGACATGTACTAACTGGTCTGGAAATAACAATATGTCAGACACTATTTAACTAGAACCTCTGGTATTTTGAACTATGTGCCAGAAATGTACTAAAAAATACCAATAAAGACACAAATCTGTGCCAGAGGGATTGTGTCTGACAAAGCCTGAATTTGTGCCTGACAATGTCTGTGACAGACAGGTGCCTTATTTCCTGGCTTGTGCAAAATGGGATGGTTATTAATATTATACAACACCTACATGTACTGTCTGAAAAAACATAAATTTTTAACAGATTTCTTCGGTTATGAACAAACAAAGATTTTAACAACCATCTTTTGCAATCAAGACCCTAAACATGTTTTCGAGTGTATCGTCAATTTGATATCATTCTTTCAATCCAATAATAACCGTTCCATAACATCTATTGTGTGGCAGCCCTGAAAGTGAAATTTGGGTATGTAATCCTAAAAAACCTGCAAGACCTCTTCAAGATTTGAAAGTTTTGACCGTACTGTGATATGGTGCAATATTTGATTGTTTATAATATAATGTAAATATATTCCTTATCATCAACTATCTTTTAATTTATTGTAAATAATACTTAATATAACACACCATAACCCCATAATTGTAAATATCCTGTATAATCATACATTCAATCTATCGTGTTATATATCATATTAAAGATATTCATGGCTAAAATTTAAGGGACGTATAACGAATGTAATTGTTTTTGTGCCACATTGTTTAAAAAAAAATTATCCATCTGACTCTCTGATCAAAAATATGATTTAAAAAAAATATTTCAATATTTAAAGCTATAAACTTTGCAGAGATTTTACTAGAATGTAAAAGGTGGTAACGAAATAAAGGAATACAGGCAGTTGTGTGTGTGAAGGCCCAAACCCAATACCGAACTGATAAATTGAGTATAAAATTTATAACTACCATGAGTAGATTTAATTGAAATTAATGAAGATGTCTGACATAGAAGATTTAATAATGAATATTGGAAGCTCTGCTTATTAATAAAGTCATTCACATGGTCATAGTGCATTAATATTATATACATGAGCCATGTAAGCTTTAATAAATGTCATTTTGCACTTTAAAACGTATCAAATGTCTACATCAAGTTAGTAAAGTGAAAACAAAACACCTTACATGTATGTACATGTATCTAGAGAAATCAGATATTACATCTTCAACTTGATGAAATCGAATACTTTTATGTCAAATTGACATGACTCAATTTTGCAAGTGAAAACAAGTAAACTGATTTATCAAGAGGCAATTTGTGTGACTGTACTTTGAAACAATCCATACAGTATGATGGAGTGGTTTATTTTTCATATTCAATGGGGTGGAGCTAGATAGGATTTTTTTGTTACACATAGATTTGTCTATAATGCCTTTTACTTTCCGCACAAATAATTAGACTAATAGCGTCTTGTTCTATGATGATATTTATTTACTTTTTATTTGGGGGTCTTACGGAAATACGTACTTCTCAATTCGGGTGTAATATTACTATAATCAGATTATTTGCAATCTAGGAGGTTAATATAGTTCGAACAATGATGAAGTTTCTATGCGGAATACAGAATCTAAAACTCTACTGGACATCACCCATACATGTATTTACCACAAATGTGGCATAGTGTCAGACATTAAAAGAATATTCCATCTACTTTGGCTGGCGTTTAGTAATTGAACATATTAACACCAGGTACATGTACAATTTTATAGATACACAATTACTGAGTCTAATACTACATGTACATTGTAAGCGACTTTCGACGAGGAGACTTGATAAAGGCGAGAGGATCCTTGTCGAAACGTCGCCGAGTGTGAAACACAGTTATT